CTCTACATCACTAAACAATAACAATACTTATTATATGATTGTTGTTAAGTACTGTGAGTGGGTTACAATTCATAGTGACCCTATGATAGGATTCCAAGGAGCAGCTGATGGGTCGACCTTGCAGATAGCAGTCCAATGTTTATACTATGGTGCCACACCAGGACTCCTATTAAGTGATTACCATTGCTGTTGTGTGCTGTTAAGAAGGTTAAGTATAGGGTTTTCAAGGTTGTAAATCTTTAGGGAGCAGAAGGTCTTCTCTTTCTCCCACAGATCAGCTGGTGGATTCAAACTGCTGATCTTGGTAGTTAGCAGTCCAACACATAACCCACTACACTATAAGGAATCCTTTATGGAGTGATTGTTGTTGTTTTTGTTGTTGTTGTTGTTAAGTACCATCGAGTTGGTTCAGACCCATAGTGACCCTGTATGGGGTTTCCAAGGAGCAACTGTAGTTTTGTAGTCCAGTGCATTAGCCCACAGTGCCACACCAGGACTCCAATTAAGTGATTAGATTATATAAAACAAGTTAAATCTAGACCCAGTTATTGTTGTTGTTGTTAAATGTCATCAAGTCAATTCTGACACATGGCGACCCTGTACAGGGTTTCCAAAGTGTGACTGATGAGTTCGAACTACCTAACTTGTAGTTCAAACTGACCTTGCAGTCTAGTGCTTATTCTACAGTGCCACACCAGGACTTCCAGTTTATAAAATGAAAATTGTAAATCTCTCTCCTTCCATGTCTTTTCCTTGGTGTGGTAGTGGTAGTTGTATGCTGTGGAGTTGGTTCCTACACATAGTGATCCAGTATAAGGTTTCTGAGGCTATAAATCTTTATAGGAGCAGAAAGCCTCATCCTCCTCTTGTTTTCACCTGGAAAGACCAGAAATGATGCTAGCTATTATAGCAAATGAGCTCCCAAATGTCAATTCCTTTTAACACAGAAAGTCACTTCTTAGTCGTTTGGTTATAGGCAGTAGGCAGTTTTCCTTCACTGGCTCAAAAACTAGTCTACGTCCAGTAGGTGAATAGGAAAAGGAGAGTAGAAAAAATACCGTTGGAAGCACACATCTCAGTTGGTGGAGAGCCAGATACTTCAGCTACACAGTTATTCTGTGAAAATTTAGTTTATGTTGCCAGGGACAGTAAATTGATGCCAAGAGAATAGCCAAAATTCAGAGAAGTATATTATTTAGTTATAATGGCAATTACAAATGGTAGATGGATTTATCTGATAAATAAACAAATTAATGTTAGTCAATTTTCCTGTTATATTCTCATTTGCATTGCTAACTTATGCAGCTTAATACTGCCTCTTCTATTTGGTAATCAAAATGAAAATGTAGCTAGGACCCATCTGGGTATTTATGCATGGATCAGAATTTTCAAACTCTAATCTGTCCTGTGGAACTGCTGGTAGTTTCGAACTGCTGACCTTGAGATTAGTAGTCCAATTAGTAACCATTACTCTACCAGAACATATAGACTACCAAAAAATAATTGAATATCATTAGTATGTTACCTCAAATCATGACTGAAAGCTACTTCCTTAAAATACACTTTAAATACCCAGATGTTTATGTAAATATTAAATATGCTCACTTGAAGTTTTCTAGTTTATATTTTTTTCTAAGATCCTGTAAATATAATGGAGTCCTGTTATGGCACTGTAGGATAAACACGGGGCTGTTAACTATGAGGTTGGCAGTTCAAGTCCACCAGCTGCTCCTTGGAAATTCTATATAGGGGTGTTATGAATTGGAACATAACTCGATGGCACACAATAATAACACAACTTGATGGCACACAATAACAACAACAACAACAGAAATCTTATTGGAACAATAAAAAAATTGCTAATAGGAATATTTTAAAGACTACTGGTATATTAGCAACATTTTGAATATATGTCTTAAGATTCCTTTCTGATATAAAAATTATAAGCCTCTGAGAATTTTTTGGTGTTTCTCTCTATGCCTCATAGTTACCATTGCAAGTAAGAATAACAATACCTGATAAAAGAATATCAGGCTTTCAGTATTTCAATACAATCATCAAACGTCTTAGTTGGATTTTAAGAAAGTCAGTCACTGAGAAGGCAAGGAGTAACTTTACATTCAGTCTTAACATTTTAAATTCTAGAATTATCAGTGTTATAACAATGCTTTAAACAACTAATTTAGTATTTAGTGCACAGCCTCTCAATGTATACCTGTCTTGTGAATTTTGTTGTGGGGAAATGTACACATGTATGTTTAAAATATAAAAATACATGTTTTTAACTTTTCTAGACATCTTCATACAAATTACATTGTTGACCCTAAGAACACAGGTTTGAAATGAAAAATAATTTATAGGATATTTATCTACAATGTATCACATATTTAAAATTGATTCATAAGTTTCTACTGATATATTAAATATTCTAAATTATAATTTTAGTTTATATTGATATTTTTATATTAAAAATTTCATATATACGTAAAATGCTATAGAGAAAAACATAATCTATGTTTTAAGACCTTGTTTTAACTTCCTGATTCTGTTCCCTTCCCTATGACTGACCTCCCTGCCCCTCCAACAAATCAAAGACACATTAACTTGAGTTTTGGTATTTATGATTTCTAAGAATATCATTGGAGTCCTGGTGTGGCGCTGTGGGCTAATGCATCAGACTGCAAAGTCTTTTGCACTGCAATGTTGGTAGTTCAAGCTCACCAGCTGCTCCTTAGAAACGCTATACAGGGTCTCTATGGGCTGGAATCAACTTGACGGCACTTAACAACAACAACAATAAGAATATCATTATACTTTTATTACCTATTTATGTTTTCAAAAATAGTATTTATATTTATTTTGTACATATTTTAAAACATTTATATATATATATATATATATATATATATACACACACACACAACTTGTTTTCCCTCACTATCATTTGTGTTTTTCTATGTTGATGCATGAAGATCTACTTTATTTGAAGTGTTGTATATAATCTAAATTTAGTACTATACCAGGCTATATTTATGTTCCTTTTTTTAGGAATTTCTTTCTTAAATGGATTTATTTTGTTTATTTTTTATTTGTTGCTATCAAAAACATTGGCTCAGTGAACATTCATATATGTATCTTAGTAAGTACACTTAAGAAATTTCCCCTTAGATGAATTCCTTGGTATAGAATTGTCAAATCAGAGCACTGCACATCTCTACCTATAGTTGATACAGCAAAATAATTCTATTAAAGCAGTTGTACCAACTTATACCAATAAGGCTTGAGAATACTCTTTGTACCTTGATATGACACACACTTTTTGACAAACCTTTTAATTTTTGCTAATCTGAAGGATAAACAATGATATTTCATTATGGTTTTACTTTAAATTTCCCTGATTCTAGTCAGGTTGATCCTCTTTTTATGTATTATACTGAGGTTTCCTCTTCTGCATATTAATTATATATTTTGTTTAATTTTCTCTGGCACTACGTATCACTTTATCTTATAATTTTTATTTTTTAAAGTTTTTATTGTGAATTGAGTGAAAGTCCATAGGACAGATCATCAGTTTTACATTTAACAAATCATACACCTTGTTTCATTACATTGATTATAATCCCCTCCATATACCATCAGTTAACAGTATTTCTCACTATTCATTTTAGCTCTTTTCTTTGTGTTTTTTTAAAACACTCAGGCATAATTTACACCACCAAATGGCACATTCTGCAAGTCTGCCTCCTGGCCACCAGCTCTCAGTCCCTCTCTTTCCATGAATCTAAAGTCCTCAGCTGCTCCCTCTCTCTATGTCCCCATTTTTGCCTCCATTTCTGGTGTTGCTGCTTCTCTGGATAAGGTACCACATTCCACTTGTGCTCTTCTCCCTGGATGGTCCTAGGGTCCTCTGTTTCTGGACTGTAAGATTAACTACTCCACCGTTTTTGTTACAAAACTTCTACCTTCACAAATTGTGCCAGTCACAATTAGTCATGATAACAATTACTATTGAATCATAAGAATTTTATCCCCATCTCTTTTTAGCAGACCCAACTAGACAAGATAAAAACTATTCAGTGAGGACTCTATCTCCCCGCCCCCCCCCAAACACACACACTCTTTAACTAAACTCTCTCTTGAAACCTTGTAAGCCATTCACTTTGTGCCTTTATCACCCCCTCATTCTAAGTTGTTGTTCCTATCTACCCTGTGTACAGAGGGGATAGCATTGATACTTGATGTGAAGACTCCTTCCCTCTCAGTTGGTATTTAGAGCTACTACATCCATGAGTATAAGTCAAGTTCATCAAATTGTAGCAATTTACCCTCATTTCCTTTATCAAGAACTGTTTTTTTATGTTTTATCTTCCACTAGTCGAGTTCTGATAATCAAACCATTATCATTTTGTTTTAATTTTAATTCTGGATCATAAATCTATGTCAAATCTATGACAGACTGTGACTTATAGTTTTACTTTTTCACTGTATGTTAATATTATTGTTGTTAAGTACCTTTGAGTCAGTGCTGACTCATAACAACCCTGTGTAGGATTTCTGAGGAGAGACTGGTGAGTTTGAACTACTGACCTTTCAGTTAGCAGTGTAGTTAGTGCTTATCCTACAGCACCACACCAGTACCCTTTCTCCCCACCAACCCCCACATAAACACAAATGCATGTATAATGTATAGTTGTATTTTATGTTGGTTAAAACAGGTATTTGCCATGAAGAAATCATTGGTCTTGCAAATTCTGTCATACGATCTCCAACATAGTTTCTATCACCAAGACCATATTTTCCAACTACTGATCCTTCCTCTTTGTTTCCAGTCTTTACATCCCAGTCACCAGTAATTATCAATATATTTTGATTGTGTGTTTCATCAATTTCAGACTGTAAAAGTTTGTTTCTATTTGTTAATTCTTATGAAATTACAACATATTTTTAACTTTCATTTAGTAAATGTTTTCATTTAACACCATTTTCTTTTTATATTTCAGTGAATAACCCTATACCTTCCAATCTAAAATCAGAAGCAAAAAAGGCTGCTAAAATATTAAGAGAATTCACGGAAATAACCTCCAGAAATGGACCTGATAAGATCATTCCTGGTGGGTAAACAAAATACATCATGTTTTGTTTCTAATCATAATTTCTAATTTTGGTTTGTTTTCTAAAATACAGTTTTCATTCCTTCCCATTCCTTCAGTCAATCTACCCAAGTGATATCTGCACACCCTTAGATCACCTTTAGATCACTGATCCATCAATGTTTTTGAGCTTATTCAACTGCTTTTTCAACATGGTCTCCTCAAAAGGGCCAACTTCAGCCAGAACAAACTAAATCATGGACATTTCTTTGAAGCCATTTTTTGTTTCTCTTCAGTCTCTTCATTTTTATGAGCCTTTTCTCTAAGCCTGTTTATTTCAAGGTTATCAGTACTCTGTTGTTGTTGTTTTAATAATAGTTACACAGATAGTAAGGTTCCCTATTGCTCTAGGCTCAAATATAACAGCAATTGTGAGGATGGGCCCATTACTAGGCAGTGTTGTGTTCTACTAAGCATAGTATTTCTGTAAGTCAGAATAAATGTACAATACCAAATCACTACCACAACAGCAACACATTGTTCAGAGACACTGGTTGTGTTGCATTTTTCATATTTTCATATTTCATGTTTTAATATTTGCATTAATTTCCATTCTGGATGCTACATTTCCAGCAATCTGATTTACCTGCCCATACCCTTTCATTTTTGCTTTGGAGAAGTTGTTGACCATTTGGCCTCATATAGATGCTTTTTGAAAAGGTGCACAATATTTTTTCATAATATTCTTTATTTTCTTAGCCAATCTGTTATTTAGCTAACTGTTAATCTCAGGATAGTTTTGGTTGAAGGTTTATGGAGTATCTCAAAGTGACAGTCACACAAGTTTTCTGATATCAACCACTTTGGTCCAACAAATCTGGATTTTTATGAATTTGAATTTTGTTCAACATTTGTCTCCCCTTTATCAGGATCCTTCTATTGTGGCCCTGATTAAAGCATTGCTCATTAGTGGCTGTAATGTGTCCAGTATGCTCAGGTACCATATTTTCCTTCTCTGTGTCAACTTTTATAAAATCTCACCAATTGTCCTTTACATCACTTCATGAGAACATTTAAGATTACTCACTACTTAAAATAAGTTCCTCAATGGTGCAAATGGTTTATGCTCAACTGCTAACTTAAAAATTGGTGACTTGAAGTTACCCATCAGTAACAAGAAACAAAGGCATGATGATCTACTTCCATAAAAATTAGTCAAGAAAATACTAAAGAGCAGTTGTACTCAGAATTGACTCAGTGCCAGCGAAATCATGGTTTTATTTTTTTCAAGTAAAAAAAAATAAATTTCAATTTGGTGATTTCTTTTTCTAGATGAGACATTTACAATTCATATGGGTTAAGAAGACCTTGACCAATAGTTTGGGAACCACTACCTATTTGTTGGCATCTATAGGTGGTAGTGTAGGAGCTCTGGTGGCGTAGTGGTTATGAATTGGGCTGCGAACCGAAGGTCAGCAGTTTGAAACTACCAGCTGTTCCATGGGAGAAAGATGAGGTTTTCTTCTCCCGTAACAATTTACAGCCTCAGAAACCCTGTACAGGGTCACTATGAGTCGAAATCGACTCCACGGCACATAACAACAACAACATAGGTGGTACAAATGCTTAACTTACTCTGCTGCTAACTGAAAATGTTGGTAGATTGTGTATACCCAGAGATGCCATGGAAGGAAAACTGGTGGTCTTGTTTCAAAATTTTCAGCTCTGAAAGCCCTCTGGAAGGTACTTCCACTCTGACACTCATAATTACCATGTGTTGGAATCAACTTCACCACAGCTGGTTTTTTTTGTTGTTGTTTGTTGTTACGTGCCATCTAGTCAGTTCCTACTCATAAGACCCTATCTACAATAGAAACACTGCCCAATCATGTGCCATCCTCGCATTTGTTTTTTACCTGTTTATTAATATTATTAGTAATTTCCCAAGGGTGTTTCATAAATATCCCATGTAAAGCAGATTCATAAGCAAATATGTTTGGGCATAGTTGCAGACTAGATTTCTCTCTCATTCACAATGTATGTCTGAATCCTGAACTAAAGGAACCAAATTAATTTTTTGGTGAAGTTATTTAACCACAAAAATTTACTTTCTAAATTACGGTGGTTGTTATAATAGTAACATTAATTATAATAGTAATTATTGCAGTATTGGCCTGACCATTCCATATCTTGAGGAAACAATACATACAAAGGCCTTGCTGCTTAAAATGCAAGTCAACAAGAGCCAAAATATGACTTTGAACATATCCCCCCTGAATTTAGAGATCATCTGAAGAACAGATTTGATTCCTTAGACACTAAAGACCAAAGACCAGAAGAGTTGTTGGATGGCACCAAGAACATCATATAGGAAGACAGCAAAAGTTCATTAAAAAGACAGGAAAGAAGGAAAAGGCCAAAAGGGATGTCAGAAGAGACTTTGAAACTTGTTCTCTAACATAGAGATGCTAAAGCAAATGGGAGAAATGGGGAGGTAAGAGAGTTAAGTAGCAAATTCCAAAGGTCAGCTCAAGAAGACAAAGTCATATATTATACTGAAATGTACAAAAACCTGGAGTCAGAAAACCAAAAAGGAAGAACACAGTCAGCATTTTTCAAGCTGAGGGAACTGAAGAAAAAATTCTGGCCTGCCAGTTGAACTATTCAGAAAGCAGCAAAAGAAGATGGAATGTACAGTATCATTGCACCAAAAATGAGTTAGAATATAATCAAGAGCCAATGATACTGAGGAAAGAAGTTCAAGATGCATTGAAGGCATTGGCAAAGAACAAGTCTCCAGGAATTGATGGAATACTAATTGAAATCTTTCAACAAACTGATGGCCACACTGGAGGCAATCACTCATGTATGCCAAGAAATTGAAGAGACAACTACGTGGCCAACTGAGGAAGAGATGCATAATTGAGCCTAGTCCAAAAAGATGTGACCCAAGGGAGTGTGGAAGTCATTGGATATTATTAGATATCATTAATATATACAAGTCAAATTTTGCTGAAGAGAATCCAAAAATAGCTGCAAAGATACATTGAAAGAGAACTTCGAGAAGTTCAAGCTGGATTCAGAAAAGGACGTTGAATGAGGAATATCATTGCTGATGGCAGATGGATCTTGAATGAGAGCAGAGAATACCTGAAAGATGTTTACCTGTGCTTTATTGACTTTGCAAAGGCTTTCGATTGTGTGGATCATGACAAAATATGGACAACACTGTGAAGAATGAGTATCTAGAACACTTAATTGTGCTCATGAGGAACCTGTACATAGTCAAGAGGCCATTGTTCAAACAGAACAAGGGAACTCCAAGTGGTTTTAAATTAAGAAAGGTATGCACCAGGTTGTATTCTTTCAGCACACTTATTCAATCTGTATGCTGGACAGATAATCTGAGAAGCTGGATTATACGAAGAAAAGCATGGCATCAGGACTGAAGGAAGACTCATTAACAAACTGTGATATACAGATGATACAACTTTGCTTGCTGAAAGAGAAGAGGACTTAAAATACTTACTGATGAAGATTAAAGACCACAGCCTTCGGTATGGTTTGCACTTCAATAGAAAAAAGACAAAAATCTTCACCACAAAAATCCTTACCACAAACAGCCATATAAATGGAGAAAAGATTGAAGTTGTCAAAGACTTCATTTTGCTCAGATCAACCATCAACACTCATGAAAGCAGCAGTCATGAAATCAAATGCTGTATTTCATTAGGCAATTTTGCCGCACAAGACATGTTTAAAGTTTGAAGATCAAAGACATTAGTTTCAGGACTAAGGTGCGCCTGACCTTGATATTTTCAGTAACCTCATAAGCATGTGAAAGTTGAACAATGTATAAGGAAAACTGCAGACGAATTGATATGTTTAAGTTATGGTTTTGGAGGAGAATATTAAAAGTACCATGGACTGCCGAAAGAACAAACCAGTCTGTGTTGGAAGAAGTACAGCCAGAATGCTCCTTGGAAGCCAGCATGGCCAGACTTCGTCTCTCATACTTTGAACATATTATCAGAAGGAACTAGTCCCTGGAGAAGGATACCATGTTTGATAAAATGGAGGGTAGGAGAAAAAGAAGAAGATTCCCTGACAAGATGGATTGGCACAATTTCAGCAGCAATGAACTCAACCGTGGCAACAATTGTGAGGTTGTTGCAGGACCAGGCCGTGTTTCGTTCTGTTCTGCATAGGGTCTCTCTGAGTTGGTACCAACTCAATGGCACCTAACAACAACAAAAAGTGCAGACTATGACTGGCAGCTTGGTATCATCTGGAAGCTTGTTAGAAATGCAGAACCTCAGGCACCACTCTAACGTAATGAATTGGAACATGCACTTTTCACAGTATCTCCAATGATTTGTATACATACAAAATTCTCAGAAGCTTGTCCACGAGTTGAAAGAAAATTCAACCAGAAAATTGTATTTTCAGTTGCAATGTTGTAAAGCAAGCTAATATAAATATTTGCAAAAACATCTGGCCACCCTGGTTAATAGATATGCTATTTATTGACATAAAAAATTTATTGAGTATATGGATCATATTACTCTTTCTTGGTTTATGCATAACAAATTTCATTTTACCTCTCCTCTGCCTCTACACAAAGATTACCCTCCTTCTTTTCAGTGGGTCTGGATCAGAGAACGAAAATCAATTTACGTATTAGCTTAAGTATAAACTTACCCCAATGGTATGTGCAAAGTATGTGTGTATGTATATATATTTGGGAGGAAAGGAAGTATTGTATTTATATATGCATTAAAACAAAGTTGATATGTATGTAGTTATTGTTATTATATGTTATCAAGTCAGGTCCAACTCAGATTGACCCTGTATAGGGTTTCTAAGGAGCGAGTGGTGGGTTTGAACTGCCAACTTTTCAGTTGAGAGTCCTGTGTTTATCCTGATGCCTAGACATTTTAGAACTTCTAACTGGTATGTGTTCATTCTCCTCTGATGTTAAGGCTTCTGAGGTATGTGAAACTTACCTTACAAAGTATGCGTATCTGCAGATAGTGCCTTTTATGCAGTGAATGAAATGCAAAGTTAAAACTTTTTTAGGGGTTATTTCTGCATCTCTAAATTTTTATGGATAATCTATAGAAAAATAGTTGACATTTGATATACATGTATACAGCTTTCAATCTTAATACACTAAACATATAACCTTTTAAGAAAGCAAACTTAGTAAGCCACCACTTAGGAGGCAACCTTATTTTCTATGTCTTGCTTTAACAACCGCTCCAGAATGTTCTAGATGTTAAATTTTTTTATGTTCTTGGGTGAATTATTTGTAAGAGTCTGCTATTAATTTAAATTTTAAAAGAGTACACATAATTATATTAGAAATTTGGTGGTGTCCTGAGTACATCTACAAAACTTTTTTGTATATTGTTGTGCACAGTCTCTGGTTTGAAGTCCTCGACAGAGTATTTGACTACAGTGCCGACTCCATGGCACATAACAACAACAACAACAACAATGATAAATTAAATTCTCCTACACATATTACTGTATTAATACCCACTTATTTTATGTAAAGTACTTCCCTGAAATGTTAGTAAACCAAAACTTCAAAAATTGAATTATATTAAATATAAGTGCACCAAGTAGTTAAAAAAGGGTCCCTGTGAGTTGGAATTTACTTGAGGGTACACAACAATAAGAAGTAGTTAAGTCATTAAACATACAGATATAAATAATAACCAGATCATTTTATCAACTCAAAGACATTTTATGTGGCAAATCACTTAATTGTTCAATTTTTAAACCTGTATTTTCACATATGTAAAAAGTGTTTTATTTTATATGGTTTTAAAGCTATATGGCTTTAAAAATCAATGTTTTACCCATAATCACTTGGTCATTTTGTTAATTTTTCTTGGCAATGTATGGATTTTAATTTCTTTGAAAATAGTAATTGTGAATTTTGTTTATCAAATTGTGAATCATTTTATAAATGCATTGAAATAACCAAAGTATTTGTTGTGCTAATTGTTTTTGTTAAGTGCTATTGTGTGGGTTCCAACTCAGAGTGACTTACAGGGTTCCTGAGAAGCAGCTGGTGGATCTGAACTACCAAACTGTGGTTAGCAACTCAATGCTTATTCTACAGGAAAATCTCATTCAAATTTCTAATTTATTATGGTAGTTTCAGGAGTGTTGAACATTTATGATGCTACATTTAGCACTGCAAAAATAACAACATTCAAAAAAAAGAGGTAGGAGTAGAGAAGTTTTATGCCCATCTGTTATATAACTAAGTTTTATTCAAGAATCCATTAAAATTCTTAATTAGAACCATGAGTCTTGTTAAGCAAATATCTGTTATATACTGAATATGTTTAATAATTGCTTTATATATTAAGAATGCTTGCCTACTTATTGTTATTAACATTTGCAGCCCATGTAATTGCAAAAGCTAAAGGTCTTGCAATTTTGTCTGTGATAAAAGCTGGATTTCTGGTAACTGCAAGAGGAGGCAGTGGAATCGTAGTGGCTCGTCTTCCAGATGGAAGTAAGTTGGTATTTGTTCACTTCTAAGAGTAGAGATTCTTATGATTTTTTTTTTTTTTTTCTGTTTCCATTTTGAACACACTTCGTAAGGATTTTGACAGGTTTCCCCCATGTCACCTAAAATTGGTATAGTAAGGGATGTTCAATAAGTGTGTAGGTGTTAACAAGCAACTAAGAGGAAAATGAGTTTTTTCTATTTTCTTTTTCCTATTAAAATAATTAGGTAAGACTCTCTCTTTCTCTGTCTCTATCTATCGATCAATCGATCGATCTATCTATCTATCTATCTATCTATCTATCTACCTATCTGTCTATCTATCTATCTATATGTTGTTGTTGTTAAGTACCGTGGAGTCGGCTCTGACTCATAGTGACCCTGCACAGGGTTTCCAAGGCTGTAAATCTTTAAGGGAGCAGAACGCTACACCTTTCTCCTGCAGAACCACTGGTAGTTTCGAACTGCTGACCTTGAGGTTGGCAGCCCCCCGACTCGTAACCACTACGCTACCAGAGCTCCATATGTATATATGACTTAAGTTATATAGACATAAAACTCAACAGAGCATACTATGTTTCTCCATGCAACAAATATTTAAATATGGTAATCTATGCATTTCTGTTATTAAATGTGAATTCATATTTCTGAACTTCCTGGAACAGAAAGCGATTAGATACCAACCAAAAGGTTGGTGGTTCAAACTTACAAATTGCTCTGTGGAAAGATGTGGCCATCTGCTTACATAAATATTTACAGCACTGGAAACCCTATGGACAATTTTGCTTTGTCCTATAGGATCACTGGAAATCAGAATAGACTCAAGGGCAGGGGGTAATATGAAAATAAGGGTTATCTGTAAGCTTTACTAACATTTCTATGGTAACCCCCTAAACTCTGTCACATTTAGAAAACTTTCCCCCAAGGCAGAATATATCACTAGCAATATAATTTACTTCCTGGGATGTAAATTATATCATTATCAATTTGAATTTACTTCCTGGGATGTAATCAATTACTTTATTTTCAGAGGTGAAGTGTAAATATATATGAGGTTGAGTCAAAAAATGATCCACAATATGACTGTAGAATTTATTTTAATAAAATTTTAGAAAAGACAAATACATCATTCTTTTCAACATAGTCTCCTTGCTTTTCAAAAAACTTTGTCCATATGTCACCAAGCTTTCATATTCTCTTTTAAAAAAATATTTTATGCTGAGCTGCAAGCCACGAAAGCACCACTGTCTTCACTTCTTCATCAGAAATTAGTCTTCATCACAGGTGGATCTTCATCCTCAAAGGGCTGCTTTCAGGGGACCAAACAGAATGTCTCGTGGAGCAAGATCAGGACTATAGGGAGGATACTTTTAAACCTGAAAATGAAGATTTTACAGTGTCAACAGTGTGGACAGAGGAGTGTGAGCGTACATTGTCATGTAAGATCACAACATCCTTGGTTAGCAGTCCTCTCCATTCAATCCTAAATTCAGGCTTCAGCTCTTCAGTGAGCACTTCACTGTAATGAGCACTGTTGATTGTTGAAGATTTTACCTGATAGCATTCCAATACTGGCCCTCAAGAATTCCAGAAAACTGTAAGCATCAATTTTCCAGCTGATGGTTGACTTTTGAACGTATTCTTGATTGACATTTGAGGATGTTTCCATATTCTGCCATTTACTCTCAGGCTCGTAGTGATGAATCCATGTCTCATAACTACTAATGATTTGTTAAAAGAAACTTTTATCTTCCTTTGAGGATCAGTCCAAATTTTGTTTGCAGATGTCCAACCACTTCTGTCTATGTTCTTCTGTGAGTTGTTTTGGGACCCATCTGGCACAAGATTTTCAAAACCCAAGTCTGTCATGGATTATTTATAAGCAGAGCCATGGCTGATTTTCAAGTGATTTTGCCACACTGTCCACTGTCACTCGTCTATTCGACAGACTAATTTCATGTGCATGCTCAATTTTGACATTGGCTATGGATGTGGATGGACATTTTAATATAACCAGAGTACAGATTATTTTTGACTCACCCTCATATTTTCATGAATCCCATGAACCAAAATTTATTATAGTATTTAAAATGTGTACAGGTGTGTTATAACCAACTAAATGCTTTTTATACTAACTTAACATTTGCTGTTCAGTTCATCATATGAGTGAACACATTTATGTACTAATAGCTGTTTTTGTACATAATTAAACTTTTACTTTGAGAGAGAGAACATGAGACACTTGCTGAAAAGAGTTACACTGAGGTGTTTTGAAGAACATATGGCCTTTAAATATCAGCCAGTTGGATTTGCCAAGTTTCCTGCCAAGGTATCCCCGCAGAAAATGACAGTCTCTCCCATAAGTTGCAGCTCAACTGTTTTTTATTACTCAGGTGTGTGGCTATGAAAATGAAAACTACAAAATTGTTTGTGTGGACAGAGTGTCCTTAGTAGTAAAACCAAACACAATACAGACTATTCAAGGGGGCCCACTATCAGATGGGACTCAAGAGTTTGTAAAAGAAAAAAAAAAATTGTGGAATTGTATGTTCCCAAGGCCTTCAGGACCCCTCTGGCTGCCCTCCATTGATAGGATGATTGCAGTTGAAAAGGTTGAAGAACTATCAGGCTCTGGAGTTTCTCTTAGAATTCCAGCCGGACCATTCAATTGGTTTAAAGCCCAAATTTCCCTCTCCAGTCTTCCTAAGTAGCCAACTGTTTTCTCTGTAAAGTGTAATTTAAAAGCTATCCAATTAAGGCACAGCAAAATCACTGGGAGCTGGCCAGATGTGCCTGTGTCCTGAGATGCTAGATTAGTTGTATAGGGCAGCTTTTAAACAGAACATAGTTCCCAACATACTAAAATGAAAAACAAAACAAAACAACAAGCTTGCACTTATCAGTCAAGTGTTGACTGATATCACTTGGACATATATCTTTATATTTCCAAATATTTGAAAGTTTTCATTGTGAACTGAGTGAAGGTTTATAGAGCAGATCATCAATTTTACATCCAACAGATCACATACTTTGTTTCACCTCAATGATTGCAATTCCTTCCATGTAGCAACAGTTACCCTACTTCTCCCTGTGGTTCCTATTTCCATTCTACCCTTCGTCCCAATCCCTCTGAACCTTGTGCCTAGATAAATGGTAAATGTTCCCTTTGATTATGAATAGTTTATCATTCCATGGTGACAATCCTCTCTAATGTTATTGTCCCTGCTATATATCTAGCCACCACTTAGTTGAAAATTGGGCCACAAGGATATGTTTCGTTCCAGATATAAAGCGTGGCCAAGGGCCATAGTCTCAGCTTCCTGTAGTTTCTTCCTGACCAGTAGTCCTGGTCCTTTTTGGAATTTTGACTTTTGTTCCTTACTCACTCCCCCTCTATCTGGAACCTTCTAATGTAATCCCTTTCAGAGTAGTTGGTCCCTATCCTTATGTATGTGCCACACGTTTTCATGTTAAGACAATGTTTGTCTGTTTTAATCAGAATGGTCTGCACCTTCAGCCATTGGGATAGCTGGTCTTGGTGGAGGATTTGAAATCGGGATTGAGGTAAGTGTTTATGCATATGTATTCAATAGCCATATTCTATGAAAGAACCTGAAATTCAATGCATGACATTTGAGAGATTTCTTCATAGTTTACAATGACATCTGGGAAAGTTTCTCCATTTGTTTTCATGATGCACCTAAATTATCTAAAGGGTTCCCATTTTTCTTTCATTGAGAGTAGGATTTCATTCATTCACTGTTCTGTTTACATCTTGAGCACATCTGTCTAAAAGATATCTCTTCATGAGTGACAAACTATTTGGTTGACTATAAACCAATAGATCCATCTTGGAAGAAGTGCAGCCAGTGTGTTCCTTGGAGGCCAAGATGGCCAAACTTCGTCTCTCATACTTCCGACATATTATCAGGAAGGACCAGTCACTGAAGAAGGATATCATGTTTGATAAGGTGGAGGGTCAGAGAAAAAGAGGAAGACCCCCAGGGAGATGGATTGGCCAAGTAACAGCATCGATGGACTCAAGCATGGCAACAGTAGTGAAGTTGGCCCAGGATCGGGCAGTGTTTCATTCTGCTGTGCATAAGGTCGCTATGAGTCGGTACTGACTCGATGGCATCTAACAACAACAATAGGAAAACTGCTTATCTCCTTTAGGAGTCATTTTTTAAAGTAGTAGAAATAGTAGAGTATCTAAAACATAGATTTTGTTGTTGTTGTTAAGTGCCATCAAGTCGTTTCCGACTCATAGCGAGCCTGTAAATGTTTCCGAGGAGTGACTGGTGAGTTTGAACCACCAACCTTACAGGCTTTGCAGTCTGGTGCATTAACCCACAGCGCCACAAACATAGATAGTAGAGTATAAATACTTTAACACAGTATATCATCATTTATGGCAAAATCTAATCCTGTAGCATCTGATATTCAGATTACTTCAAATTATTTAAGTAAAAGTTAACTCCTTAATATTTCATTCATTAACTTTGCTCCTAATGATTCTATCATATTTGATGTCTATCATGAACTAGAAATGATACACTAGGATAGACTTGTTTACAGAGATCTATTACATATGGATCATTTTATGTATGAGGTTAAGCTGTTGTTCTATTGCTAAGTGATTGGTAATCAAATCTTCTAATAATATCAAATCATTGTCTTCTCAAATTTCAATTTCCTCCTAAGCTTTCCTTGTATAAATTTCTTCTGTTGCCATAGTGCTAAATACCCTCAACCCTTTCATCTTTACTTGACCTTATTTACTCACTTTCATCTTTACTTGACCTTTCGTCTTTCATCTTTACTTGACCTTATTTACTCACTGCTGCATAAATTTCTAGAAAAAAGGAAAGCATATTTTAGTTTTGCCTATCATAACAGCATTTTTGTTTTATAGTCAATCAAATGAAAGCCTTCAAAAATATTGCCTTCTTATGAAAAGCATATTTTCAGTAGTGTCACTGTGAATCCACTGGGGACAGTTTTAGAGTTTGTGTTTTGTTTGTTTGTTTGTTTTATTGTAGTCTCCATGGAGTACTGTTGGTACAGTTTTAAGAGCATTCAGCTGTTAATAAAAATTTTAGTAGTTTAAATTTACCAGATTTGGCAGTCTGCTTGCTTCAGTAAACATTACAGCTTTGAAACCCCAATGGGACGATTCTACTTTGTTCGATAAGGGCACTATTTTCCTCCACCGCAGTGGGCTTGGTTTTCTTGTTTTATTGTAGTCTCCTATCCTCATTATCTTCCTTCTTTACCCACAACTTCTTGTAGATAGTTTCCCAAAGAAAAAAAACCAAACCCATGGTTGCAGAAAACAAGTAAAAAAAAATGTAATCCTGTTGTTGTTGTTGTTAAGTTCTATCAAGTCAGTTCAGACTCATGGTGACCTTGTATAGGATTTTCGAGGAGGAGCTGGTGGGTTTGAACCTCAGATCTTGTGGTTAGCAGTCCAGTGCTTATCCTACAACGCCACCCCAGAATTTTAAGTAAGTCTTTTAGAAGATGATCCAACTATGTTTAGAAATTCTGGTGTAGCGTTGTAGGATAAGTACTGGACTATTAACTGCAAGGTTGGTGGTTCAAACCACCAGATGGCTCCCTGAAAACCCTACATAGGGTCATTATGAGTTGGAATCAACTCCTTAGCACTTAACAACAACAGCAATATTCAAAAGGTAAATTAGTACAGTGGTTATAATGTAAGAGTAAAGACTCTAGAGTCAGGCTTGTTGTTAAGTAGTCAGTTCCAAGTGATAACAACCCCATATAGAGTTTCTAAGGATCCGCTGGTGGATTTAAACCCCCGCACTTATGGTTACCAGTCCTGGGCTTATCTTACAGCACCACATCAGAGTGAGGTTGCTATAATTGAAAATCTAACTTGAGCACCTATGAGCTGTGTGATCGTGACAAGTTACTCTTCTTCCTCTCTGCTTCTTAATTTCTTCTTCTGTATAGTAGACATATCATTCCTTCTGAGCTTATAGTAATTAAAACAAATTAAAAAAACCAAATAAATTTATACATAAAAAACAATTGAAGTGACAAAGTACTATAATTTTATTTTTAATATCTTTTTAATCTGTGTAATATTTATTTATGCTTGCCATTTATTTTGATAGCAAAGCTTTTCTTAAATTTCACTTAAATAACATAACATGGAAGATAATTATTATCATTTAAAAATATCTATTTCAAGTAGAGATAAGAAGAATGTATTGGAGACACTGACTTTAATTTTGTTATTTTATTATTATGACCTGACTTTGCTTCTTTGAGGTCCATAGATACAATTCTTGTATAAATGTAATATCTGTAATGATGTTAAAGCTGTCATTTGTTTTTTATGGTTAACAAAAAATGTTTTTTGTGACTTTCCTTAAAAGCTTTCTCAGATTTTTACATGAATTTGTCTTCTTTTCATTAATTGCTACTCTGAAATGGAGCTCTTGCCTGCCTGAATCAGAGTGAGTAGGAAGCTAGGAAAAATTAACTGTGAGAAAGGCCAACTCTTTGGAAGTTCAAACTGGACTGTCCTTGTCAGAACTGGTCTTGCTGGTAGCAATTCTGACTGCCAAAAGAAAGATAGACTCAGGGAGTACAAGGATAGACATGGGAGTAGAGAGACTTCCAGATATTTGCTTCTGTTTTCTTGCAGAAAATGTTTCTTTTTTCATTCAAAGCTGTAGAAAAAAATAACAGGCCTATGGATATCATACTGCTATTATAAGCCTCCATATTGTTTTTGACCTGATTCTTTATCTAATTATTGGCATCACGAAAGAATACTGGGTCATCTTACTCTTATTTCAGAAGACCTGAATAAGATCAGACAGAAAATTAAATGATTTTTTTAAATTGCCTCTTTAAATTTTGCCTTAACTATATTTGTTGTTGGTAAGTGCTGTTGAGTCAGTTCCAATCCATAGTGACTCTGTATACAATTTCAGAGAAGTGGCTAGTGAGCTTGAACCTCCAACCTTGTGATTCAAACTGACTTTGCTTTCCAGTGCATTAACCCTCAGTGCTATACCAGGACTTCTATGATACACTAAACAGAAGGAGAATATAGCAACTAGAATATCTACTAGGTCATGGCTAGAAATTTATATGTTCTAAGTGTGTATGTCCTGGTGTGGCACTGTGGGGTAATGCGTCAGACTGCAAAAGTCGTTTGAACTGCAATGTCAGTGGTTCAAGCTCACCAGCTGTTCCTCAGAAACCCTATCCAGGGTCGCTATGGGTCAGAATCGACTCGATGGCACTTAACAACAGTAGCAACAAGTGTGCTACATAAAAAATTGTATGTATCAATCATTATGCATGCCAACTTTTCATGTGCTACATAAAAAATTGCAATATTGAAGGCCTCTATGGGCAAAATATTGAACAATACAGGAAGCATCAAAAGAAGTTAGAAAGAATACGCAGAGTCATTGTACTAAAAGAATTGATCTGCTGGCACTGTAGGATAAGCACTGGACTGCTAACCACAAGGTCGGCAATTTAAACCCATCAGCTGGTCTCGGGAGAAAGATGAGGATTTTTGCTTCTGTAAATATTTATAGCCTCTGAAACCCTATGTAGGATCACTGTGGTTCAAAATAGACTTGATGGCAGTGGGTTTGAGGGCCTATGAACAAAATATTGGTGATGCAAGAAGCATCAAAAGAAGATGCATACATAGTCACTATACCAAAAAGAAATAGTCAATGTTCAGTCAGTTCAGGAAGTAGCATATGATCAAGTACCTATGTTATTGAAAGACGAAATTCAAACTGAACTGAAACTGAAGGCATTGGTGAAAAACAAGGGTCCAGGAATTGATGGAATATAAATTGAAATGTTTCAACAAACTGATACTAACTCATCAATGCCAAGAAATTTGGAAGACAGCTACCTGGTCAACTGATTGTAAGACATCTATATTTATGTCCAAACCAAAGAAAGGAGACTTAATGGAATGTAGACATCATTGAACAATATCATTAGTATCACATGCAAGTAAAATTTTGTTAAAGATAATTAAAAAGTGGTTACAGCAGTACATCAACAAGAAGCTGTTAGAAATTGAAGCCGGATTCAGAAGAGGATATGTGTGCAGTGTAGTGACTTATTTAATGTGTCTTCTATCCATTGTCTGTAATTCCCACCAAACAACATAGATAGAGTGAAATGATTCAGCTGTGGATTTTAGCAGAGTTCATTGTAATTGTAAAAACTTGAAACTCTAGCATGAGTCTAAAATGAGCCACCTCAGGAGCAGGAGTAGATATCTCACTTACATCATAGAAGAAAGGCCAGGAGTGGAGCTCGTCCTTTGGACTTCAAGATACCTGCACATTAATCCTCTTCACCCAGAGACAGAAAACTATCACAACAGAGGAGTAGCAGAGGAGCAGCTGCAACAAAACCAAGAACCAGTGGACTTCTCAGCTGTTGGGGCCAGGTGGCCCTAGCCAGAGACTGAAGATAGCTCTTCTTCCCACCAAGGATAAGTTGGTGGTCCCAATGGAAATCAGTGAATGTGAAGTCATTGCCCTGCAGGCCACCGTATTAGAATGATGTCACACTGTTATATAACCTTTCAATCTATTTGGCAAGATATCTTCTTTGTTCTGTAGTAGTACATAAGGACCTCCCCGACATCAGAGGTAGGGAGAACAGACATCATACAGAGGAAGAGCAAACACACAGATGGGAGAATAGAGCAAACAGAGGAAGGAGAAAGAAAGGGATGGAGGGAACAAAGCCTGAGAGGGCTCTGAGAGCTAGAGAGGACAGGGCAAGAGGCTACCTGAGACCCCTTCCCCTGCTCGAGTGCTGTTTTGCTGAATAAAGGAACGGGCTAGGTTTTGCAAATGATCTCAATTCATCCAGTAAACTACCCTATAAATGTGGTTGCTATTATTATATCCACTTCACAAAAAAGGAAACAGAAACTTGCAGTGCTTTAGTCACTTGCCAACATAGCAAGCAAGTGGTAGAATTAGAATCCACAACCAGATAATTTCAATTTTGAGCCCAAACTCTTGGCATCATGCAATTTTACCTTCTCTTTTCCAGGTATACTTGCCATATATCTCATCTTCTTAATAGTTCAGCATGGTAGATACTATTTTACAGCTTTTAAATATAAAAGATCAGACATCGAAAGACTAGATCGGATATCCAGGGTCACACAGCTACTGAGAAGTGGAGTTAGACTCTGCAAACCCTAGGATTATGCTCTTGCCCATACTGCCTTCTCTTTTTGATGGACCATGCTATTTTTTTTTTCATTCTAATTTAGACTTTACCATTGAGATCATGATTTTGAGGCCAAATACTTTCTCTGTGTTGACAGTCCTTGAGGATTCAATTTAATCTCATTCCAGTTTTTTTTTTTTTTTTTTTTTGACGAATGAAGATTTCTGCTCTTAGAAAGACTTTTTAAAGTATTGGAAAGCAAATACAGGGTCACTATTAGTCGGAATCAACTCAGTGACATTTAACAATAACAATAATGTAGCTTTTAACTAATGGCAACTGATTTTCGTTCCTTATATTTTTAAACTTCTGAAAGCTAGAATAATGGTATACTGTGCAATTTATTAGTAGTGGGCACATGGCTTTGACATTACATGCTGTTGTTTCTGTTAAGTGCCATTGAGTCAGTTCTGACTCATAGTGACCCTTATATAGGGTTTCTGAGGAGCAGTGGTAGGTTTGAACCACTGACCTTATGGTTAGCAGTCTGGTGCTTAACCTACAGTGCCATACCAGGACTCCTGTCAGGGCATATAACTGTGCAAAATATGGTTAAGATCCTTAGTACCTTTAGTTCCTTGACCTTATTACATGTTCTAAATTCTTTGGACACGGGTTTCTTGTATTGTTAAGTTTGAAGAGGTTAAGGAACACTTGATCTTTCTGGCCCATGTTTCATCTGCTTTTAGTTATCATTAGTGACAGTTTACTTAACTTCTCTAAATCTCAGAATAACCACCAACACCACAAGTATGTGGAGAAGACTAAAGTAGAAAATGTGTGTAAACATCATAATATGCCACATGGAAAATGCTCAAAAGTTATTTGTTGCAATTACCTGTGGCAATCATAATGGCTTACATCCTCAGCGCAAAATTAAATAGAGCTTTTTCCTATTTCTGTCTACACTGAAATTCTTGTTTATATATATTCTAATTCTGCCACTTGCTTGCTATGTTGGCAAGTGACTAAAGCACTGTAAGTCTTTGTTTCCTACTTTGTGAAGCGAATATTTGTATATATACATACATATATATATATTTGAATTCTAGTCAAGAAATATTTTAAATGATAGATATAATTATGCTTAAACAAATGAGTTTCTACATTTTAGGTATCGGATTTGGTAATAATTCTGAATTATGATAGAGCAGTAGAAGCTTTTGCAAAAGGTGGCAACCTAACTCTTGGCGGGAATTTCACTGTGGCCGTTGGACCCATGGGAAGGTGAGTACTATAAGATACATTCTAGATACCTATTGGTGTTCAAAATAGTATAATTAAGGTCTAAACACTACATATTATTTCTCAATAAATGAAAATGTGAACTAAAATGAAATGGAACAAGTTACGATTTATATACTTGTTTACTCCAAGAGGATTTTCAGTAGTATGAGTAAGTAAAATAAGAATACCCAAAAAAATGTAATCAAATTAGAATATTTGAACCTGAACACACAGAAAGAAGCAAAATATTTCAGAAACACAGGTCCTTGTACCTACTGAAATTGAACAAACAATTTGCCTTCAGACTTTGAGGGAACCAAGACAAGTCAAATGTTATTAACTGACAAAATATAGCATTGACTAGGAAATAAAAAGGTTTTGTTCCAACTGAATAATAGAAACTAAAAATGGTTGTGATTTACTTCCATGATATTTACAATGTTTAAGTATATTTTCCTTTTCTAATAAAGAATATTCTTGAGTTACCTGAGCAATGTAGAAATATCTTAAACCCAGACTGTTTATAGAAGTTATGCAGTAAAATAATCTGAAAATTATTTCTAGAATGCTTGATAATTGTCAAGCAACCCAAATCTTTCAGTATTCTTAAAGTATATTTCTCTGTTTTAGACAATTGATATCCAGTTAAAAAATATTAGCTTTACGTGATTTTTTCCTGTGTTATATTTCCTCTATATTATTACTTCTTTCTATACTAATTTTAAGGAGCTCTGGTGGCGTAATGGTTACAAGTTGAGCTGCTAACCTCAAAGTCAGCAGTTTGAAACTACCAGCCATTTACAGGAGAAAGAAGAGGCTTGCTGCTCCCATAAAGATTTAGGGCTGCGGAAACCCTATAGAGGGTCGCTATGAGTCTGAACTGACTCCAAAACCCACAACCCTGCCCCTCCACAGACTAATTTTATGTAGCACTAGTTTACCCTTGCTTGTGTTCTGCTTTTCCTCCAGCGCTCATCCTAATTAAAGTGAAACATATAAAATACGAAACTTTTAAAAATAATTAAATAAAGTACAATATAATTATTTTGAGTTAAAAGTTAAGTATTTTTAGGTTTTAGAATCTCTCATGGTTCTGTGACTCAATATCTTCTATTTTACAGGAATTTGGAAGGAAATCTAGCCTTAAGAAGTTCTGCTGCTGTCTTTACATACTGTAAATCAAGAGGACTGTTTGCTGGTATATCTTTAGAAGGTAGTTGTTTGATTGAAAGGAAAGAAACTAATCGAAAGTAAGTTCAAGCTAAAATCATTTAACTAATTTAAAGGAAGTATGATGGGAAAATAATATTTCACCAATTCAATGTTTTAAGAGTTTACAGGTAAATATATATGTTATTTTAATACAACAGTTTGCAACTCTGCATGTCTTTATCCAAACATTTTATCAGATATTCTTTCAATATAACAGTAATTTCCAGTATAGAAAAGTTAAAAATTATAAAGAAAAATATGGAAATAAATTCTATACCTTTAAGATTATCACATTATAAACATTTTCATTTATTACTTTCCAAACATTTTTCTAACCATAATTTTTTCTTTATTATGTCATGTTGTTGTTGTTATGTGCCGTGGAGTCGGTTCTGACTCATGGCGACCCTGTACAGGGTTTCTGAGGCTGCAAATCTTTACGGGAGCAGAAAGCCTCATCTTTCTCTCACGGAACAGTCATATATAATTATAATTGTAATATATATTCAATTATAAATTCTTTTTTTTTTCACTTATGTAAAAGAGATAAACTTACATTAATGGCTACATAATACTATGTTACTGAACTCCTGGTATAGCTCTATAAGATAAACACTGAACTGTTAACCACAAGATTGGCAGATCAAACACACTAACTGCTCATAGAGAGCTCCTATGAGTTGGAACAAACTCAACAGCACTCAACAATAATACTATTATGTTAGTGGGATGCATTGTATTAAGTGTATTTTCCAAACATTCATAAAGAGAAACCAGTTTTAACTTGTGGGTCAATCAAAATCAAAATTGTAAAAGGTTTCCTATGATTTCAGCCTCCCTTTGCCTTTCCTCCATATTAAATAGAGACCATTCTTGATTTTAAAAAGATTAAAAAATATCCAGAGAAGCAAAGAGGAGCTTCCACTATACACTGATGTTTGGCTAAGTTTTCCCAAAGCAGTTCTTTCAAATTGTCACTAAAATATCTATGAACACCCAGAAAAAGTTAAAATTGTAAAACTGACTCAACTATTTCCAGAACCTGGAAGTAATCCCACTAATTTCAAGCCTGATAGAACTAACACACAGCTGGTGGTTGACACATGTTTCATCATTTACAGCAAAGCATACCCATTACTATAATTTCCCCATGTCTGTGTACTCATGTGGAGTCCTGGTGTGGTGCTGTGGGTTAATATGCCGGACTGCAAGGTTGGTTTAAAAGGCAAGGTCGGTGGTTCAAGCTCACTAGCTGCTCCTTGGAAACCCTATACATGGTTGCTATGAGTTGGAATTGACTCAATGGCGCTTAACAACAACAACATGTACTCATGTACTCATGAATTGAATAATACATTTCATAATAATTGTTGTTGTTGTGAAGTGCCGTCAAGCCAGTTCCAACCCTTAGTGAAACCTGTATAGGAGAACAGCTGGTTAGCTTGAACTACTGACCTTGTAGTTCAAACAACTTTGCAGTCTGGTGCATTAATAAGTAACAAGAATTGGAGAAAAGTAAATTTGTTGAATTCATTTAATAAAATCAAGAGATAAATTTTTACTTCTGGTTTTATTAATTTGAGAAATGCTATTATATATTTAGAAGTCTTGAGGTGGTGCTGTAGGATGCACACTAGGAAGTTAACCACTAGGTCAGTGATTCAAACACACCAATCACTCCTCAGAACCCCTACATAAGGTTGCTATGAGTCAGAACTGACTCACTGGCACTTAACAACAATATATATTTATATATTAAAATACACATATATAGGCACTTTATATACATATATATGGACATATAAAAGAATATAGTTTTTTATACATTTTCATTTTTTAAGTTTTTATAAATATAGTATCCATGTCATTTCATATTTGTTTTCTAGCCAATATGAGTATGTAAATGTTTCTATGTTTAAGTGGATGTTCATTTTACATTAATAGAGAAAGGATATATATCATGATGATCCTTAGGGATGGGCTTGGAGGGAAGATAAGAAGTGGAACATGTGGTATGGGCTGTGGTTGGTGTTTGGAGTGTGGTATATATTACATATCTGTATGTGTGTAAGATACATACATATAGTCAGTGCTAGAAAAAATCTTATGTCTATATAACAAATGTCTTCAATCTGATATTTCTTGTTAGATTTTATTGTCAAGATATTCGAGCTTATGACATTTTATTTGGAGATTTACCACGGCCGGCTCAAGCAGAAGATCTTTATGAGATTCTTGATTCCTTTACTGAAAAGTATGAAAATGAAGAACAACGAATGAATGCAAGAAAAGCAGAAAGGGAGCGGAGCAAGGTTTCTGCAATGTTTGCTTTTTATGTCTCTCTCAATTATCCAAGGAAGTTAGTTTTTTTATACAGAATATTCTGTATCTTGATATGGAGTTCCTGGTAGCAGATTAAACACTGCTTGATTTCATTTATATAATTTTCTTGTGAAACTACCATACATTTGACTACTACCAAACAACCTTGACATTTCATCTATACAAATTTCAAGGATAGTTTGTTTTCTATGATTAAATTTCTTAAAGGATAGTACTTTATATTTGTTGTTGTATAGCTACTGAGTGCCTGCTATATGTCAGGCTCTAAGCACCAAGGGTTTTATGTGCATTTTTCATCTAGTTCCACAACATTCTTTCAAGTTGATTTGACCCTTGTTGCACTGAATGGAAGCTGAAGCATAAAGTGTTCAAATTTGTGCCTGCCTTTCCTAGTTTACTGCTAAAATAAGCACCATATCACTGTATCTAAAATTCCCCTAAATCAGGTGTAGATTGACAGATGAGCCTATTTGGAGTCAGCTTCCAGGTAAAGAAGATAGCCCTTACCATGTCTGCATATGGGCCCAAAGAGTACCTGCAAGCTTCATTAATAACTGCATGGGATAAAATTTATGATATATATTCATTAAAATAAAATATAAGCTTATATGTTCTTAGGTAAAAAACAGATTACATGAATTTATCTTTTTGGTTCCACCCAGGCTAAAGAAACACCTCCAAAACCATTGTCAAGGCCACAGCCATCATCTACACCAGTCCTGCCGAACTCTGGCTCAAAAAGTAAATATTTTTATTGTAATTCAATTAAAATTATAACTAAGTAACTATTGAATATTATTGTTAAGAAATCAAGCTACTCTGTTAAACTTTAGAGTCAACTAGAATAACAAATGAATACTTAAAAGGGTGAACTATGTGCTTGTCTTCTAAATATATAAGGCAAATTTTCATTGTCATCATTTATGAAATGTCTGTTCTCATTCATAAGATGCTTTCTTCAATTTACAAATTGAAGATTTGTCTTTATAGGTTTTTGATTTATATTCTTTTTCATTCCATCCAAAAAATTAAATGACTTGCTTACTTGAAGTGAGACCAAAATAAGCATATTTTTCTTAAATCCCAACAAATTTATATTTCCAAAGACTTTTATAGTGCATTTCTGGGAGATCAGGATTTCATAAAGAGATTTTCAATAGACTTAAAAAAATCTTCAAATTTTCAAAAAGTCAATTTTTGTCTTTACCCTATTTTTATCACTCATTTTCATGAGAATCTCTCTTAGAATTCTGCTTTTCATAAAAAGAGATTATGACTAAGTAGCAAAGTGCTAATGTAGTTGATGTTTCATATAATAATCAACTATTCTGCAAGACACATTCTTCTATAGCTTTGGGGAGGACAAAGATGTAGCTTTCATCCTACTTTTAAGAGATTTCAATCAATCTAGTGTGAGAGGAATTATATGTAAACTAATCACAATAATGGAAGAAAGCATATGGTAAATTGTATGAAAGAAGTATATAAGAGAAGTAGTAAAAATATTAAAATGGTTCTAACATACAACTATTGGTCTCTTCCCATCTGGAGCAAAGAATGGACAAAAGTAAACATTCGGTGAAACAATTAGTTCAAAGGACTAATGGACCACACAAACCACACACAGCTCTTCTAGCCTGAGACCAGAACTAGATGGTACTCAGCTACTACTACCCATCGCTCAGATATGGATCACAATAGAAAATCATGGACACAATGGGAGAAAAATGTAGAGTCCAATCATAAAACCATAAAAAAAAGTGCAAGACTTACTGATCAGGTAGAGACTGATAAGACTTTGAGGGGATTACAGTTAATGTCACAACAAAAAAGTCCAATGT